ACCAAAAATCTCTTCATTTTGCATCTTTGCAATGTTTTCTCACACTTAATATGACCTATATTTTAATAACTTTGAAATTCTGTCTTATCAAGTAATACCTGTTCATCACCCAAATTCATATTTCATTTATAACATTCTCAGCTTTACTCTATCTTTAGCTATCACACTATGAATCAATGAACAATACTGAACATTAATTACCATGTATTTAATATCCTTTGTATACCAAGTGTTAGGTCACATGCTTTATAATAGAGTTTATAATAAGGTGTGGTAGTGACCTCAGGAGGAAACTTTTTAGAAATACGCTTTATAAGTTTTTTAAAAATTCTGGGCCACAGCCAGCTGTGTTCAGGGTTTACTCCTGGCTCTGTGCTCAGACATCACTCCTGGTGGGGCTTGGGAAACCATATATGGTGCTAGAAATTGAACTTGGGTCAGCAGCATACAGTCTACCCGCTGTACTATTGCTTTGGCCTCATAAACACATATTTTTGAGATTCATGAATATAGAAGTAACTCTAGGGGTGGGACCCAAAAATCTGTTTTGGCAAGTCTTCCAGAAGTCGTCTTGTAAGGGCTCAATTTTTGAATAACTGCTTTAATAAGGTAAGGTAAAGGCCCTCCCGTTGATCATCGATTTGCTCAAGCGGGCCCAGTAACGTCTCCATTGGAGACTTTGTTGTTACTGTGTTTGGCATATCGAATACTCTCGGTAGCTTGCCAGGCTCAAAAGTCTGAAAGTTGGATCTGAGAGATAATATGGGGTGTGACATGTGACTTTACAGGTGATCATCCTTGGCTTAATCTCCAGCACCGGATCATTCTCGTGTGCTTCATCAGGTCCAGCAGTAGAAGCCCCCAAGAACCACTGAGTGTGGCACCGGAAGTCATTGAATACCACAGGGTTAGCTGGGTAATTTCAGGAAGTGCAGGACCTGAGGAACATCATGTCTTCATGCGTTCACATTGGACTGCTAGCCCAGTTGACTAAGACTCACTAAGAAGGACCCCAAAACCTCCCTAGCACTGCTTAGGAGGCTCGCGCTCCATCATACAACGGAAAAAAAATCTAAAACCCAAGGGTAAATATCTTACCCTTGCTTTACAGATGAGAAAAAAAAATACTCACCAAGTTTAAATAAGTAGTTTAAGTCTCAAAAACTACAACAAAAGTTATGATACACAAATTCCAGCTCCGGATATTTTGAGAGTCCATTCTCTCAGTTTCTACTCCATGAATTACCTCATTTGTTTGGTCTCCCTTAATTTCTCTTCTGTTGATTATCAAGCTTGGGTAAATTTCCTACACTGTTTCTTCACAGATGTTTTGGTTATTGCTGGGAAAATTATAAACAGAAATGCTGATTCCTTTCATTATAATAAATGTGTATACTTTGACCCTGAGTTAGGTTTCCAAACTTGTGAATGATCCTTTCTTTGGTTGTCTTTTTACCTATTTTTGTATTGCATTCTTTATTACATACTTGTTTAAACTCATTCTAAAGTGTTCTCTACATTTTCCCTTACCATGGTATTTTCTGCTAATCAAAGGGAATGAATGGAAAGTCACATCTCTGTTTTCCTGTAGTTTTAGGGGTAAAGTAATATTAGCATTCCCTACTTTTTGCCATTCCAGTTTAGAATCTCAGCACATCTTGGTTCTACTCATTTCCTCCTGGATCAGGAAAACTAGTGATCCTTTTTACTATCAAGGTTGATGCTTGAGCTTGTGGTTCATCATTCTGTATTTTTTTTCAGATTTTACTCTGTTGATTTTACCCAGGTTTTTAACTTAATATACATAAATAAATTGTGCTTTCTTATAATTTTCCTTTTCATAAAGTGAATCGAATTTCCTTAGTTACACATTGTTCACTTAACTCCTCTAATATGTTTTGGAATCTTTAGTTAATTACCATATTTCTTTAAAGAATAATCTAACATTCTACCTAAAATTTATTTTCCATTCATAGTAGTGATCTTTTTAACCCAATGTTTCTCTTAAGTACATTATACTCCTTCAAACTAGATACTACTCCAAAACAAAGCCAAAAGATTACTCAAGGCATATTGCTGTTTTTCATTAATTTATATTTACCATTTGTATACATTTTTGTGACAGAATTTTCCCCCAATGTGATTTTCATGAATGAAGTAACAAGGCCAATTAGTCTTTTTCTTTCCTTAATTTTTTGTTGTCACAGGCTCAGGGGACCATATGGGCTGCCAGGAATAAAACCCTGGCTGGCTGCATGCTAGGCAAGCACCCTACTTTTGAGTGCAAGGCAAACGCCCTACTGGTTTTACTACCACTCTGGTCCCACTTTCTATTTTTTTTTGCTTAACTAGTTATTCTTTTTTTTCTATAGGATTATTAGTTTATTCACTCACTGAACATTTCAAGAATCTTCTAGAAATATTGTTATAGGCTGTCATTAAGATGACAAACATCATCTATACATGAGAACATTTTTAAACCTACTAGAAACATTATGTTGTGGGCTATTGTTAAAATAGTAAATAGTATATATTCATGGGTCCATCTTCTTTGATTTTATGGGTTGATACAAAATATGTGAATGATAAAACACTGCATTGTCACACTTAGTCATCATTCTTCCAACATGCATTCATGTCTTACAGAGAATTCTGAGAAATAGAAATATCAGATAATTTCAAACTTACATTCTAAACAACTTATGTTTATGTCTCTATTCTGCCTCATGACCTCATATTGGCCAATATTTGCAAACATTAGACTAAAAACAAATTCTTAGAGCTGAACTTGAAAATCCCCACCTGAACATTTCTCTAGTACCTAGTGCATAGGGTACTCAAAATAAAGTAGCCTTTTCTAGAGAAACAAAATATGTAAACTTTGAGTTTTCTTTTTGACATCTCAATTTGTAATGGAATAACCATTTTTCTTGTCCTCCAAATACAAAAATCTTAGAATAGTCTTGAACAAATCCCTCTTTGGAACCAATTGGCATATAATATTAATTAAGCCTCAACAATGTCTTTGAAACAATTTTTATTTCTTTTGTTTTGATGGACCCTGAGAAAACTCCCAGAAATTCTCAGTGAGGGAAATGATATACTTACACCCACTATTATCCTTGTTAATCAGTCATGATCTCTAACTTACATTTCTACAGTTTTTAAAGTACTTCCTGTTTATTTTTTTCGATTTATTATTTTCTGATTCCTGTTCAGTGCATAAAACTGTTATATCAAATTAGTCTTTGTTGATATCTCTGATTATGGTGGTTTCCCATTCAAAGTTCTGAAGTATGACAAAACTTTACTGATTAGAAATCATAGCCACTGCCAATATTTCAAATCATTTTTTTACATACTACATGCACTGGAGCAAAGGAAACATTCTTCCCCATTCATCTCCCACCCTGATTTTACTCTTTAACCTTCAATATTTATCTTGTTTACCTCTGTCTGATGGGCTTATTTAAAGGTATATATAAAACCACCATCTCCCATGAGGGCATTCCAGACTGCCCTCTGTTTTGAGTTCTCTGTGGTAATGTATCAGTAATTTCCCCTGTCTAATAGCTGATATACCTAATACGATATTTAGATTGTCTAACATGGTATATTTATTGATAGATTGTCAATTCACCATTTTAAAAGAAATTATAATAGACTCATTCAACCCTAGGAAAGACCTGAGTTATGGTAAAGAAAGTTACTCTTCACGGAATAGAAATAGAGAAATGAGTCTTTAAAATCAGATGAAAGCATGTAAAGAGAAAAGATCAAACTAAATTAACATAGTCAAGTTAAGATGAAGCAAATGGTGTGTGTGTGTATGTGTGTGTGAGCGTGAGTGCATGCACACACACATACATGCACGTGCACAGGCATATGCAATATTTCTCTTTTTCTTGGTGTGTGATATTCTAGGTTTGTTTTTTAGCATGATAAGTAATTTGCTTGCTTGATAGTGTACACAATAACTGCTCCATGTCTGCCAGTCAATAACTGACTCAAAAGAGGACTAGACTGCCCCTTAGAGCATCTTTTCTCTAGCTGATGGTGTGTTTGTGGAACAGTCACTGCTGGCATTTTTAGAGCTATTCTTGAGAACCTATGGATTGGTGAGTTATAAATATTTCCTCACTATCATTACCACTAGCAGTTCTAGTATTTGATTTAATAGAGACTATTAATAACAGTAATAACAGTAGTGTATTTATCTGGCAGGTATTTTTCCCCTTTACACTGGGTTTATATTTAATATCATTTGTCCTCCATACCATACCAAACTCTATGGAAAAACAGTCCTTAGTGACTTGTTATTTCATATTATGTTCCAAATAGTTCCTGTCTCAGCTGATGTTAGAAAGCAGGTTTATTTTGACTGTATTTTGCCTCACCTTTAGAAATCCAGAATCCTAGGCCCTAACTAACCCATATGTAATCAACCAGAATATGAACTCTAGCAAGGATCTCAAATGTACTCCTTTACACGCAGGGCGAGAGCCAGAGCCAGAGAGTCAAGTATGACTGAACAGACGGGGAAGAAAATCCCAGTAGAGTTCTTTAAAAGTGGTACATAGAATTTCCCTATCTATTTGCTGGAGTTTCTCACTGAAGTGTTTGAGGTAAACGTAAACAAAAGTAAGCATGTGAAGGGCTGTCTGGGATGTAGGGCGAAGTGACTGTCAGATGCCAGTCCCCAAACCAGCAGGGGGACCTAAATATCAAGTAAGACCCCGTTTCAGGTTCTCCCAAAGCAGCTCACTAGAACTCCATTCTCTGCGTCTCTAATTTCTGGAAACATTACTCAGCTGTGCGTTTCTCATAAACACACACCCTCCACTCACTCACTCTATCAAGGCTAATTCCTGCCCTGCTTTCCTTCTTGCCTCTCATCCCTCTCCTAGTCTCCCTGAACCCTGGGGTCGGCCCCTCCCTACCATCCTCACCCCAGCTGAGTGCACCTGAGGCTGGCTGGGGCTCGGGACGCGTGCGGAGCACTGGGGGCGCAGCGAGGCGGAGGCAGAGGCGCTCAGACTGCCACCTCCAGCCTGCGCCCAAGGGACAGCCAGCGCAGCGCTTCGGGGACCATTCTCTGTGGCTGCCGCTCAACGCCTGGCTGCAAACACAGCCGCCAAAGCTGCCGACCAGCAGCCGCGCGCCCCGGGGACCCACAGCCCGGGCGGCCGCTCCTGCCGGATGCCTGGACCAGGGCGCAGGGCTTCTGCCAGCAGGAGGATGAAGGGCTCGGTGGGAGGAAGGAGAGAAAAGCTACTGGGGATGCCGAAAGCTCAGCCTAACCAAGGTAAATTGCGCGCAGAAGATGGGGCTGAGCTCCTGCTGCAGAGTTAGCTGGGGATTTGCCCCTGCGGGAGGGATGCAAAGCTTGTGGGCTGGAGCATGCGGAATGGAATTCGCAGGACCGGACCCCGGACCACTTCGCTCTTCCCTGGACCCCACATCACCAGGCACCACCAGCAGCTCTGCCTCTCCAGCACTGAGACAGGAAGAGATGTGGGGCTGCTGGGTCAAAGTAGAGAGCGCTGAGCATGAGGGTTTCCAAACCTCAAGCGTTGTCAAAGGGCAGGAAGAAGTGGCAGTGGGGCGAGAGGGTCCGTGGGCTCTGCCCTCAGTTATGGACTGGGTACAGAGGTTGGACACCCTTTGGATTTCTCCTATTGGGTGCTTGCGGAGAGGGTCTTTCTTCCAAACCCTGGCAAAGTTATTGGGATAAGAAAGCAGAGGGGGGCAGCTTTGTTATTTCTTCAATTTCCTTTCCTTTCTTTCTTCTGTCTTTATCTTTTTCTTTTTGAAAGCTCTTTGGGACGCATAGCACTTAAGAGCAGTGTGAGAAGTCAATGACTTGTAGGAATCCTTCCTCCGGTGGAAATCAGTGTCAAATTTGGGGTGGATTTTGAAGGCTGAGTTTTGCCAGTGCCTTTGAATTTGATCATCCTCCCGGTTTATCTAGCATAACTTTTTACCTTTCTATTGGTACCCTTGGGGCGGAAATCCGTGACTTTGTGACATCTTGCATTTGGGGAGTATTATTAGGAGAATGAATTGGGCCAGAGACACTGTCTCACCCAGTATGGTGTCACCTCTTGTGAAATACCCAATTTCAGACGTCTTCCTTCCCCCCTTTACAAGTAAGATTTGTCTCCATCACATATTTATTTCTTGAGACTGTGCTTATGAATGTTTTCGTCTAAACTGGTTTACAATTTTGAACGAGGGATTGGCAGTTCCTGGTTGCTTGAACAACTCCAAATTCTGGAACCTTGAACTGACTTCTAAGAATATCCGATATTGTGTAGGTATAAGTTATGGACCCTCCAGCTAGAGATTTTCTGTGACACTCCTGTGTTTATGGGGTTGTGATGAGGTTGTGTGTGAATTTCTGTTTTCTCAAGGGTACTTACTAGCTAGTGTGTTAAATGGGTCTTTTATGTGTCAATTCTGTTTCAACCTGGTTCTAGAAATTAACTGGAAAGGTGCATCTCCCTCTGGGCTTCTATACCTCCCTTTCCCTGTGCTGTGTAATTCACTCTGATACTCTGGTCTCTAAGCATGAAAGGCAAATATGGGTCATTTCAAATTATGTAGATTGATGCAGTAGAGTGTGTCTGGGGTTTGCTGCAATTTCTTCACATTTTCTTCCAGATGTTCCTCAGAAATTAACTTAAGCACTCTATTCATGGAGCTAAAATGCAGACTTGGGGGATGGACAAACATCTTGAGTTAATTTATTATTTAATATGTAAGTAAATGAAGTGTTGGAAGCACGCAGTGTTACCAGAAAGGGACCATCCAAAATTTACAACTCCTGGACTAATGCTCCTCTATGACAAAGTGCTAAGGGGCCTTTGGGGTCATTGACTGGTAATGCTGTTAGTAGGAATAATAATGATAACCCCTAACATTTATGTTCCATCCCATTCACTGCTCACCAAGTAGTATGTCAGGACTTCCCAGTCTCTGCAAATGCATAACAACTTCCAGATGGCATAATTTTCAATTTGTCAATAAGGAAAGAAAGGCAGAGATAATAATCTGGAAAAGTTCCAGAGTTTGTGTTTGGAATCTCAACATTGCTGGACTCCAAAGATGGTCTAAGAACCAGTAAACATCTATAAGATTCTTGAAAAATGAAAAAATGACCCCTTGACTACCTTGACACATTAGTATGATGATGTCAATGTCATAGATTGATTAATCTGCAGCCATTCCAAACTATGGTACAAATGTTAAATTTGAGAAGTGAGATCAAATGGAAATTGTGTGACTTTTATCTGACTAGACTTGTAAGCTCTAGAAAGGACTAAATTCTGTGGTCTTGGTATTCCCCTTGATGTTTATTTCTTGATCCCTTTTATTATAAATCAATATTACTGGATCAAACTTCTTCTTTTACTGTGATTCATAGCTTCTAAATGTATCTAATGCAAGCCTATTTTACATAACTATAGATAATATAACTATAATAGCTCAGATAGTGCAGAATTATACTAACTATATAGTTATTCTGAGCTCTAAATGAACATGCTTATATTTTATCAACTTATAATTAACACTTCGATTCTAATGATGTTGAATTTCTATTAAGACATAGTAACAACTTGTTTTAAATTTACTTTTGTACTTTCAACAGTATTTTCAAAACATTACACCTCCTGTTGTGATATGCTATTTATTAGGTACATCAGAAGTTCAATAATGAAAAATGTTTTCAATTCAACAAAACGTAGAGTTGCATTTACAATAGCAATCCCATTTAGAACATTCACATCTAATTTACAGTTATTTGATTTGAAATATAATTAAGATTTTGCATTTCTTATTGCAAAGCATATGAAGGTAGCTGAGAAGACATATTCTAGTATTTCTTATCCATTTTTAAAAATCCATTACAAATGAGTTTCTCAGACAAATTGAATTATTACCTGTTGAGAGATTTTGCGGATTTAAAACCAAAAGCAGAAACAAAGAGAAGGCATTTGTTACATTTCTTCACATGCTGTAATTATGCTTGTTTGGGGTTAGTGATAAGTTTTAAGTCACAGATGTGATTTGTCGGCACATGAATGAAATTATCAAATTGAAGTGTGCAATTCCATTGGGACACTAATGGTATTAATATCTCAAATGTGAAAGCAGCTTTGGGAAATACAAAATTTTTGAGAAGCTAAATATACTCTCTTTTGTAGCTCTTACATGGCATTTGACTGCTTTCATGCCAAACTACACTACTCTGTCACATTAAGCCAATAATTAATGCCATAATTTATCTTTTGTTTTTGTTTTGAATTGTGTTTTCTGGTAGTCAAAAGCACTGCATAAAATATAATTCTTTTATCTTTCTCTTGAAGCTTAAAAAATAACATTTATTTCACTGAAAAGAGTTTTTAAATTTAAAATTTTTAATGTAATCTCAATATCCAAGTGTTTAGCAGAACCATAAACAACATAATAATAAATTGTTTAGAGGTTTGGTTAACATTTCGGAAATGACAAGATTGTTATAATGGTTAACATTTTTACCTTACTAGTAAAATACTAACATAATAAATTTTGAACTTATGAAGTAGAAAAAAATTGTTACATAATGGGTTAACTTTGTATCAACTAAATATAATATGCTGCTGTGTTTTACAAATATTCACTTATAGATTTATATTTCAGAGCTGATATTTTGACTCTTCTGGTCGTTTAGACAACAAGAGCACTAAAAAGTGATTTAAACATATAAATATTTGAATTGCACTGATATCACAGATTGAATTTAACTAACACTGAAGAAAAATTTATGATTTATAATTTTGAATGTTTCAAGAGTTTAGAACTCAAGGTAGTTTTTTTTGGTTGTTGACTAGAACTTTAAAGTGAAAATTTATGAAATAAAGTCTGTGGATTAAAAATTTAGCAGTCATTTTGTCTTTATAAACATAAATTAGATTTTATAGAGTACCTTCCTGCAATTGGTTAGCATAATTAATTTTTCAAACAAATGGATAACATGATGAGGATCATTTTTAAAAATCAATTACTTGAAATATATTTATTTGATATCTTCTAGGTATGGTTAAAATTAATTAATCCCTCTTATGGAATTAACCAGTCTTTAAACTTAAAATGAAATTGCAATGAGAGAGAAGCTTAAGATAGTCAAGAGGCAGAAATGACTAAAATTTCTTTAAATTCTTTATCCATTTTAGACGTGGTTGATCATGAATTTCAAAGATTACCTTGTTTCTAACCCACTGGTGAGTTAGATAGAACATGTTGCTAGTTTGGGATAGAAATTATTTGATGGTTTAATGATTTTATTATTTTGCATGCAATGTCATCCAACCTCATGTTTGATTTTTGCCTTATTTGGAACATAATGGGACACTTCCAAAATCTATTTATAAAATTACATCTTACAAAAACAAGCAAGCATGCAGAATTCCTAAACATGTCTTTTAGTGTGAGTGTTGCAGTAAAGGACAGTTACTAATTTCATCTCATGTAATTAAATAGCCCGTCTTCCAGCAAACATTCTGATATTGCCATAGTTTGATAGTCCATTAGGCACATCTCTCCCCCATGAAAAGAAATAACATAGTATAGTGAAGGAAATTAAATTTGAGGATTTTCCTAAGGGATTCTCATTGCATGATGTCAGATAGTCTTTGCATAGTTTTTTCATGACCTTTTCATGTATTCTAGTATTATTACTACAGTGTTCACTGCACTTCTTACAATGAGTTCTAACACATTAATTACATGTGTTTAAGATTTTTCTTATTTAATGATCATTCAACTGAAATGTGATTTCTCTATTTTCAACTAAAATGAAAACATTAATAAAATATTTCTATAGTGTCTAACTTTTAGTTTTTTTTTCTTAACAGGGGAATAAATATAAGAAACCCCAGAAGGTATCCAGAAAAATCAACATTTTAAAACCATGTTTATTTTTTAACAACTTCCAGGAATTAGTCAGTGTTCCAACCCTATTTGGGTCACTTAGAATCTAAAGAGTACAATTTTTGATTACTGCATTTAGTTTTCAGGTGTTAAAAATTTTGTGTTTATAGTAAAAACTGGCATAGAAGTCACAGAAACAAACTAGGGATTGAACATGGAGTAACATTTACGAATGTGAGCTCAGGAGAGAATGCATGAATTTGAATCTTTGTTCTTCTAAAGGTGGGGGAGTTTAATTATTTATTGTGCATCTCTTTGCTTTAGTGTCCTTATTTACAAAATGTTGATAACACAGATTGCCCGGTTCAACACAAATATTACATTGTAGATCTT